CTTGTTCTACCAAACAGAATCATGACGTAAGATACGTACTATATACAAAATGTCGCTAAATTTATGTATTAATTAATAATATAATAGCTTTGTGTAAGCAACGACTCCAAAAACCACGGAATACCGACTTTGATCCGAATCACTTTCTGATTTCGGTCCGCCGTATTAGATCCTCCCTATAGAATTTCTATATTTTATGTTCATATTCGGTATGAGCGACCCCGAAAACACAAGGATACCCATTTTTATACAAATCCATTGAATTTCTAGATTCAATCCGCCAAATTGGATCCGACATTTTTCATTTTGGAAAACGTTGAAATTTCGGCGAAAAAAGTAGCACAATAAAAAGTAAAAATTTCTTTTGAAAGTGAAGAATAGCACTTTAAATTGGCGTCAATGAAATTGAAAAATGAAATTTTGTTTGACGGCAAAAAATTGATATGTATGATAAAATCACTGTTTTTGGCCCATATTAATCGATAATCACAAAAATCTAACATGAAGCGCATGTTGTGTTCGCGAATTTGAATTTAGCTTTCTCGAATTTATTCAGAAATACTGGCCTTATTCACCGTAAATTTTCTTGCTAGACTGTATAAATGACGGTAATAGCCTCATAATTATTGCCAACTTTGGATATAATGCAAATCGTCCAAAATTTATCATAGTAAAAGCAAATTTAATATAAATGCTTAAAAGGTAAATAACATATTTATTTAAAATTACATCTCAAAATATAAATAGTTGATACATAAATTTTTGTATAATTTTTTATATATATCTCAACATCTTTAAACAATTTTAAATAAATTTCCACGTCTTTCGAACCTCTTAGTTTATGGTTTTAAAAATTTCATTGCACGTGACGCGAAGAACAAATGTATATTGGTAGAGGTAGACAATGCATGTGCGAATAGCAAGGCATAGGCAACGGTGAACGTGACGGTGCGATTGGATTGCGTTATATATCTCTTGAAATGATATTGGCAGCCTGCCACAAGCCTGGAACTATCACTGAGGCAATATCTGACGCGGCTTCTTTAAAGTAACATGCGGCCGCAATACAGCAGCCTTTTTTTTTTGTTAAGGCAAGGGAAATGATTTACGCATCCTTTAAAAATCCGGGGAGATTCTCGGGGTATTTGGAACTCTCCCGTTTCTCATTACAAGATACGGACATACTTATTAAAACCCCTGCCGCAATCCTTCTCAGGCGGTACGGCGAAGGCACCACTGATATCATCAGCGGCATTCTTCCGTGGTGCCCTCCCCCCGCCCCCCGCGAACTATGTATGTCTTGACCAAGAGATTAAACCCCTGGTCCGTCCCTCCGCTGTGGAAGACGATGCAGTCTTCCTTGTGGGGACAGGGGTCGCCGCGTCGCCGTGTGTGGAGTGTTGGTCAGGGTCCTTGTCCCCGCCCAGACTCCGCCCCTTCTCATTTTACCAGCGGCTCTTTTGCTGTCTGCGCGTTGCCGGTCGTTTCATTCCCCAGAACGGCGTAGACAGTGTTCCATGCCGCCCTGGGTTCCCCATTTTGTGCTACCCGGGGCAGAGGATTTTAGCCACTCCGCCTAAGACCGGGGATCCATCCCGTCCATGTACGTTTGTGTCGCACTGCGATCTCGGCCGGCAACCCGCCATAAGTAGGCGTTTAAGGCGCCTTCTCAGGGAAGCGGGCAACCCATCCGGCAAGGTGTCAGCCTATTCCTTTCTTATGTGCGGAAGTGGGGAAAGGGGCGCACCTCCTCCTCTTCCTAAGTGGGCCCTCTCCCCTATTCCCATCTTCGCCATCACCGTTGTCGGGGAAGGGAGGCTCCAACTCCATACATACCCTCGGTTTCGTTTTTCTGCAGCATCTCTTCTTCGTAGAAGGAGGAGATCGTCGCCCAAATCCTCTCGTTCCCGAGCATTGCGCAAATTACGCTCGGGAGCGAGAGGTCCGTCCCCACTACTGCGACTAGGCCTCCTGCGCTGCATAGCCTACACCGAACAGTGCTCCAGCGTGTGCTGCACCGATTCCCGATGGGAATCCTCCGAGAGGTAAGCAACCCATCCCCCCGGCGGGATGTCAGCCGATTTCTTTTTTATGTGCGAATTTGGGAAGAGGGGCGCACCGATAACAGTCCGTCGGCGGGTCGTCCAGCTGGAGTTTCCAGCGCAGGATGGCCTGCTACCGGGCCTGCTTCCTCACGAGAGTTATATCCCTCGTGGAGCTCTTTTATGCGCGTGTATATTTCCTTATACATTTGCGCAAGGAGCTCCGCGGGTATTACCCCAGCGAGAGCAGCAACGGCCGCGTGAGACACGATCCTATAAGCTTTAGCGGGGCGAATGGCCATCCATCTTTGCGACAGGCACATCATCGTTTTGTTGCGCCGGTTGGCCACCGCTTCGTCAGCCAACACTGGGGTCCCGTAAAAAACCATTGAGTGGATCATGTTCACGTAGAGCCGCCTAACTTACGCAGCAGCTTAGTATTTTTTTGTTAAGGTAAGGGAAATGCTTTACGCGTCTCCTGAATGTCCGAAGAAACTTTCGTGATTATGTGGGACTCTCCTGTCTCTTATTACAAGAGACGGGCGTACCTACTAAAATCCTGCCGCAATCTTTCTTTGGCAGTCTAACGGGAGAACCATGGCCATCGCAACATTCTTCCGTAGTCCTCTCCCCCATCCCCCCGCGAACTATAGATTTCCTGTCCATTGGTTTAAACCCTCAGTCCGTCCCTTTGCGGTGGAGGACGATCAGCTTTCCTTCCACTGCACCGCAATGCAATGGGGAGATTGATCGAGGTCTGGTTCCTCGCCCAAACCCTACCTCCCCGTACTGGCCCTTTTGTTGCGCGGGTCGCCGGTCGTATCTGTTCTCGAGAGGGCGTGGGCAGTATTATCCTATGTTCTCTAGGTTGCTCCGTTTCAAATGCCCGGGGCGGCGGATTTTGGCTTAGACTGGAGGATTTTGCACTCCGCCCCGGACTTGGAGACCCAACCCAACCGGCGACGGGGACCTTATAATAGGCGTCTCAGACGTCGGTCACCCTTTTTCTATAGCTTGGGGGAAAGTCCAGGCCGCAGAAAGGCCGGCAACTGCCTCCCGCGGCTCCTCCCCGCATGGTGTTTTAGGACGGGGGATGTCTTTATCGACCTGTGGGGTGGAGAGGGCCGCGATCTTATCTTTGTTCACAGCCTCCTCATGCCCTCCTTTCTTCGCCCCCTCCCCGCGCGGCCTGAGTCAAGCATAATTGTTGGAAGGGCACTTTACCATTGCGGGTGGGAAGAGGAGGGCCACACGCCCCAACCCTCCCCCCCCCATGTCCCTTTTTGAATGCCCGGGGCTGCTTCATATAACATCCCCCGCCCCGGGCCGGGGATCCATCTTGTTGTAGCCGGCTTACTCCCACCGTACCCTTATCTCGGCTGACACCTCGCCTCAAGGAGGGTTTGGGGCGTCTCCTCCTGGAGGCGGGCAATCCTTCCTCCAGCGGGGCGTCAGCCAATCTCTTCTTTGTATGCAAAGGTAAAGAAAGGGGCGTATCTTCTCCTTCTTTTCCTAAGAGGACCCCCTCCCCCATCCCCGACCCCTCTATCTCTAGCGTCAATAGGGGCTTCACCTCTTCCGCCTGAACTTTTCGCTCTCCTCCTTTTGCTTTACCACATCTTCACAAAAGGAAAAGACCGCCGCCCAGTTCCTCTCGCTCCCGAACATCGCGCCAACTACGCTCGGGAGCGAGACATCCGCCCTGTGACCAGGACCCGGCGCAGTATAGCCCACGTCGCGCAGTATTCCTGCGTGTGTTGCACCGAGTCCCGGTCAGCCGCGCTGTGATGGCAGGCCGCCGGGCGCTTTTTGCCAATCAGTCGCTGGTACTTCCTGAAGCAACCATGCCAGGTAAACACTTGCGTTAATCGGAAGGTCAGCCCTCTATTGGCCCTGTTCAACCATTCTTGCAGACAAGGCCCGATGGCATCGACGGTCCGTTGGCCTGGTGTCCGCGGATCGTCGAGCTGAAGTTTCCAGCCCAGCACGGCCCGCTGCAGCGACCTAGCCTATTCCAATTTTACTTTGGGTCGCCAGGAAGTTACTCCAGATCGCGCCAACGCAAAGTGCCACTATCGTCTCCTGCCATCGAGCACCGCGACCCTGATCTGCTCTCTCTCTTCCACTTTGTCCTTCATTTCACGCCTTTTAATTTATGGTTCTAAAAATTTTATTGCAGCGAAAATGTTTTGTTACATTTTTAGAAATGACAGTGCTCTTTTAAGTTTGACTTTAAAATTGAGATAAAATCCAAAACAACTGTGGCTTCTGGACGTTCGAAAGATTGTCCATAAGCGTTACTTTCTTTGCTTGTTAGTAAAAGCTAATGGACATTCGGAGCAATCGCAACATTATGAACGTCTTTTACACCATACAGGTTAAATATAAAACTCTCAAACTGACAGATAATGACAAGCTAGTTGTTGTAAAACTGTCCCCAATTCATTGAATAATCAAGTCATGATATGCAAATATTTAATCACGATGAGCCTGATTGGAAATTCAGGATGTCACAATAACTAGAAAATGGAGTTACGTATATAAAATCTGAAGGAGTAAGGTACAATTAGTCACACTGTTGCAAAATTGTTTATGAATTTCACAATACATCTCAAGTGTAAGAGGAAAAAACATCTCGTGAGATCTAAGCAAAAATGCATTTTTTATTGGACGCGGAATGAGATCCAAAGTATACGTGTAGCGCCATTTGCCGTCACTTCCGCTTCGCGCCCAAGGCGGAAGCAGAGTCTCGTGCCGAGAGCTATCTTCTCCGCGCAGGCCGCGGTGCTCCCCGCCGTGCGCGGGATCTTGTCCTCGGGTGCCGCGCGCGGCGCCACAGCTGAGGCGAGGCGAAAAAGAAGCGTTCGCTTCGCCGTCTGAGTTGCGAGCATGAGTCAGCAGAGAGTAGAGAGTTAGTAGCGAGAGTTAATAGCGAGAGACTGAGAGTAGAGAGTCAGCAATAGCGAGAGTTAATAGCGAGAGACTGAGAGCAGAGAGAAGCGTGAGAGAGTTGAGCGAGAAGCGGTAGAGAGTAGAGTTGTAAGCGGTGGAGAGCGTAGAGACTGTAATAGAGTTGGCGAGAAGTCTGTAGGAGAGAAGAGCGCGGAATAAAGACGTTGGAAGAGGAAAAAGCGAGTCAAGCCATTCTGACCCCGCCTGCACCTTCGTTGCTCCCGTTCGGCGTTTGTGGGGAGGCCAAGAAGCGGAGCAAACCAAACTGGTCGCCCCCACATACGAACAGTAAGAAGAGTGTTGCAATCGTTCTAGGACTGACTGTACAATATATTTATGTTTAATGTTATATTGGTACTATTATTTAGTCAAAATTTATTTTAAATTCAAAACCATTTTTAAATATTAGAAATAATTGTATCACATCATTTAGTGTAGATATACGAGGTCTGTTCAAAAAGTACTACGAATTTTGTGTTTTTTCAAAAATTATTTATATATTCATGAATATCTATTTTGTCTTCTTCAAAGTAATCCCGATCAGATATTATACACTTGTGCCAACGTTTTTTCCAATCCTCGAAGCACTTTATAAAATCATTTCTTGTGATCTTGTTCAGCTCCTCCTTCGATGCCGTCTTTATCTCCTCAATCGTAGCGTAGCGTCGTCCTTTCATGTGCCTCTTCAGTTTCGGGAACAAGAAAAAGTCACAGGGGGCCAGGTCTGGGGAATACGGTGGCTGCGGCATTATTAGTCTTTTGTTTTTGGCCAAAAATTCGCGCACAAGCAATGATGTGTAAGCATCGCCGTTTCGCGGCAACACGTCTCATGCCCAAATCATTAGTAAAAATCGAATGGCACGAGCCAATCGATATGTTTAGGTCCTCAGCAACTTCTCTAACGGTGA